TGCTTCACGATAAATTGTGTGGTCTACGAGAAAACCAACCCGTCATGAGAACACAAAGTTTGATGCAAATTTTCAAGGAATGCAAAGCTGCTCTCTGCACCACCACGTTTTCTCTTTCATCTCGAGCCATATTCTCTCTTCATTGAAACGCGTTGAAACGCCCTCTTGAAACGCGTTGGCCAACACCTAGCACCCTTTCACATTCTTCTACGGAAAACTCCCAGCATGGTAGGCAACCCTTTCGATGGCAAGTTCCCCCTAGAAAACCACGACATTTGCCTGACGAGTTCATCATCTTACTACAAAGAGCTTATAGAACATATATAGATATAATTTATAAGAACGAAGCATTTCAACCCTTTCGCCATTTCTGGCTCCGAGTGCACTGACGTGGCTGAAAATTGATTGCTCTATCATCTGGGCTATAGTTTCTGCAAAAAGACTGAATTTCTCTTCCAGAGTCTTATCTACCACGTCGGCTTTTGAGGCCTGATTCTCCGAGGTCAAGCTGCTGAATTGTGTAGAACTAATATCAGCTTCTGACGTCCTAGAAAGTGCCAGGAACTAATCGCAGTCTGCGGTAGTTGCAGAGGATGTCTAGGGACACTGATTCCTCTGTGCAGTTGCCTGTCGAAGGCAGTCAATTCCCTGTTCTGTTGCGTAAATAGCTGTTGCAGTTGGGCTAGCGTTTGATTTTGTTTCTCAATAGTGCTTATGACCTGTTCGATTACTGGATATTCTGTAGTCTGAGAGCTATTTAGTGTGCCCTGGGAAGCAACATTTGATGCCCAGCTCACTTGAGAACCCGTTATTTTGAGGAATGGCGACGCCGCTATGAACGTGTTGTCGGTATCGGTGTGCTTCTGGGCTGACTGGGATCTCCTGGACCAGGACCATGATTTAGGTCGAGACACCGCCCACTTCTTAGATCAAGGCTGGGATGATCTGACGCTGGTGTCATTGCCGGCCACGCTGCTGCTTTCTTGCTGTTTCTCGTTCTACCCAGACGGTGTCTTGCTGCGGTAGCCTGCTTAGCTAGCATGCTGGACCGAGGACATGGCGGTGGCTTATAGGTGATATCTGCGCGGACAGTCGCGAGAACCACTAGCGTACTACCTACCTCTGAGCACAAAGCTTGGGTAGCACTCGTGTGTGTGCGACGCATCCAGTCCACTTTTGCCGCAAAGCTTACGCCGTTCAGTCTCCGGCACGGGTGTGAGGCACACGTACGTTTGGTGTCCAGGCTTTCCACACACTTCACAAACTGCATTGGTAAAGTTGTACTGTTGTACTAAGCTGGCTTCGTTGAGGAGAAAGATGCGCCTTGGGATATTGTTGTGTTGAAATGTGAGCGTCACTACATTGGCAGAGCCTCCGAGCCCCGACGATGGGTTTGTTAGGCGAGGTGGTGTTCGCCAGAATGTAATATGTGGTGAATGTGTTGGCTAGCCGGAATACGCTCTTGCCCATGTTGTCAGGTGTCTTGAGGTAAGATTGCATGTTAATGGTTTTGTTGGTGAACCGCAGCTGTTTCAATCTGAGGAGGATGTGCAGCACACGCTCATCTTTAGTGCCTGCAACGACGAAATTCTGTTCCCAAGTGTGGCCGTAGGCTGAACTGGTGTCTCAGGTTCGGAGCTACTTCTGCAGAGATGCTAATTTGAAAGACAGCGGCCCGTATGGCGTTGTCAATGCTGCCTGCGCCTCTGTATTGCTTTAGGTTGCAAGTTGGCCTGGGTTTGATGACGACCACGTATTCATCGGAAGCCATGCGAGGCGAGTAGCGTGGTGCATCTATGTTCTTTCTGGGTGCCCCGCCCCCTTTCCCCCGAGAAGGTAGAAGTAGCTTCCGTAGGGCAGCTTGTGGTTGTCCGCGTCTCCACGTTCGTCGGAGGTTTGCGAGCACCAAGGCGGTTGCGATGCATTTATCGAAGTAGCCCTTCGTAATAAAAAGAATAATCGTCCGATGATGGAGCAGCTAGCTAAGTTTTTCGAACTTGCATGCCTTCCTGGTCATAACCACCAGTATTGCGTTGACATGGCTTGAGCGGCTGTCGCGCGTTCGTACTTGCTGCTAAAACTGAGGCCCAGAAGTGAATCACACACCACGACACTCGCCAAAGTTTTTCGCAGATAAAAGTCCAGAATACTTGTATCACCTGGGTATTTTCGTGACCACGTACACTTGGTCACACGAGTAATCGAGGGATATTGACTTTGGCATCGTAGTTCAATATTGGCGCACAGAGCGAGTGTCGAAACACGGAGCTAGCGAAGCATGCGTTTGCACCCACTCGCGCCACACCTTCGTCTTCCATACAATGCCCGAGGAATGGCACATACACAGGGTTTAGCCTTGCAGCCAGGAAAGCTAAAACTGAAAGACATGATATGACCACAAAGATCAAAAATAAGAGAGAGGCGCACTGCGCATCCTCTAGCCTACCTCAAAACACAGACTCGGGCCGGGCCGAGTATCGTGGTTTTCACTGCACGTCAGGGTGGGTTCAGGCCTCAGACGTAAAGCGGCGCTAGAGTTTAATTGGGGCGGTGGGCTCGGATCAGCTTGAGCTTGGACTTTGCTCAGTTTTTAAAATCAAGCGACACAACTTTATTTGATGCCCGCGCGGGCCCTCTAGTCGGGCAGGATTTCAGCGCTCAATTCTTTAAATTGTTTCGCGTGTATGCGTAGTATTATCAAATATGTTCCACATATTGTGTTTCTAAAATATTTTTTTATTCAGGACCAAACTGTTTAGGAAAAGGTATATAAGCGGAAATTTCTGAAACAGTTTTGCTTATTGTATACCGGGCCGCTTGAATGACTACGCGCTTATTTACTCAACACTTGAAAATGTTTTACATAATAAAGAGAATCCTAATTGTTTTGCATTCCAAATGTTACTATGTAATAGCAGTATTGAATGTAATATATTAAAAATAGAGAACAATTGCATATGTGCACTTTATTATCAGCCAAACGATCAAAAAGCTGCAAAGCAAGGCAACGTTTTTCAATGTCTTCCCAGTACATTATAACAAAAGGTCTGCCCAGAGTTTCAGTACACAGAGTCACTACAAAGACATGATAATTTCCTGTGGCTTTGTTGCGGCTTCCAGAGGTTATGAGGCACGGTGTTGTTTATGCCATCATAACTGCCTTTCTGCCTCAGGGAAGCTGCAGAAACTAGTATCTGTTATACATACTCCGTAATAATATTTTTTATCAATTCGTTCGTCTACGCGTTGGACCAAGTTGCAGGCCCGTACTTCCTGGCTGGCACGTAAGACAGCGGTTGCATGAACGTATGTCTAATGAGGGTATCATAACATCACAGTTTCCAACCAGCGCAGACCGAGTAGCTTGAAGCACACTCATAACAATGTAGACAATGAGACCACCTTCCGAAAATTTAAATAGTTGATGACTGTTTCTTGATGTAATCGAGCGAATTCATTTTCAGTATTTTTTAAAATCTACAGTTATTGCTGGAACACTGCTCTAACTTTCCATAAAGAGCATGATAAACACAAAGTGGATATAACATTTTGTTCTCTGTTTCCTCTATTTTTATTGCACTCTCTGTTAAAACGGATATCATGCTGAAAATAGCTTTTTTTGGCGTTAGTACCTGTTACTAGACGCTCTTGGTAATTGCGAAAATCTTTTGGTGATTCGTAGAAATAAATGTGGAATGTAGATCTAAAATATATGCATAGTTTACAGTGGTCATCGTGAGATCTACGTCTGGTTGTCTGTTACTATAACAAGGCCTTTCTCTTCAAGCCATTACCGTAAATTAAGCCATACAAGTTAGCGTAGCATGCACCCACAAAGCGTAGATAGAGTTCCCATAGAAGAAGGTCCACAGAGGAAGATAGAGGAATCGCCTACTGAGGGGTTCTTCTCAGTGCGTCGAACAAGGGGCTTGTTTACGTGAGCCAGCGCCAAAGGGGTACTACCACGCAGTCTTGTTTCGACACACAGGACCCTTTTTTTCCTCGCACGTGGCTAAGCCACGCGCATCAAATAGTGGGAGGGTGTCGAAGCGCCCACGTTGCCTTGGGTACGTGATGGCGCCGCTGAATACACGCATCCTCGCGCAACAATACTACGGGAATTCTCGAGATACAGTGAAGTTGCGGTGACCATATTCACATGGAAGTGAAATTTCTGAAGCCCTTGTGCTAACTTCGGGCAGAACTTTGAGAAATATAGATGGAAAAATTCCCGCAGCCCTCCATATGGCGTCTCTCATAATCATATCGTGGTTCGTGGTTGTAAAACTGCTTAAACATTTATTGAAAATCAAGGATATTTTAGGCCATTTTTTTGAGATTGCGCACACTACATAGGTAACCTAGGTGATGCTGCAGCTTAAGCAAGCCACAGTGTTGACGCTCGAATTGTTGACAATTCAGAAATATAACATGCTGTGATCAATCGACGATCACATCCTCAATGACTGAATTCTGTGCTTGCCGCTTCACCTGTCGTTGCAGTCTTACTTCTTTCGTTGGGCACAAATTCGCTCTACAGGATGATTCACTCTTAATGGCTGAAATTTGAATAAATAGGTGTTTCATGTCCCAAAACCACCATATGGTTATGAGAGACCACCGTAGTGGAGGGCTCCGGGAATTTCGACCACTCGGGTTCTTTAACATGACCCCAATCTGAGCACACGGGCCCACAGCCTTTGTGCCTCCATCGAAAATGGAGCCCCGCAGCCGGGACTTGATCCCGCAACCTTTGGGTCAGCAGCCGATTATCTTAGCCACTACATAACCGCAGCGGGGCTACTGGCTACGATTCGTTTTCCTCACCTTCAGAACCAGGTGACAATATGATGCTCGAAAGTCTCTGTTTAACACTTGCCTTAGCCGGCTGCCTCTATTTTAGTACATTTGCAATGTAGGCCGGGCTCTTGCTTGGAAGCTGAAACAAAAGTTCCCACCACAAATTATACTATACCTTATTCCTTATGCGTGTCACTTTATTCAGCAGTATCTTTCGTATGCGTTTGTCGCATAATGAGACAAGGCTACTCCACTCTTATTCCCAGTGGCTTATAACAACGTTGTGCTGCCGGAATGAAGAAATCTATTTTATGCACAAAATAGTTGCGCTTTATCTTCACAATTTCACACACTCGTGTTCTTGTATGAATGGTTTGGCTTATGCACTGGGATGTTTTTCTGCTGCGTGGGATGAGCTTTATAAATAATTTTCTGGCAGGCAGGATGGTAGAGAAGACTGCCTTGCTTTGCTGCGAGGTTGAAATAGTGTTGACAAGTGATTGAAGGGCGGCCATAGCTTACAAGGAATGAGTTCCGAATTCGTAGCTCACACCAAGGCTTCACTGAAAAAAAAACAAAAAAATGAAGTATCAACAATGAGAAAAGCGGATCAACATATATTTAAAAAATAAAATCCACATAAACCAAAATATGGCTAGTGCTATGTTAGTAATTAAAGAATAACAAGGCGACCAATTTGTGTTTTCTTCGTGAGCCTATAATAAAATCAGTATGAATAACACACTCTGGTTTACTGAAACTTGAGCCGTTGATTTCTTCGTAGCCGAATTGGACTAAAAGAAGTTGTCACTGCAGCAGTGGCTCTAAATTGAGGTGAACACCATGCTCTGAATTTGACACGTATTTTGTACATCTGAAAATCGTATGTAATATGCCAGTGTAGGATACCTGTTTAGGAATTGCAAAGATTTATGCGCCTTGTAACGTTATGAGTATTTTGAATGTGCCATGTAGCAAAGTACTGCATGAATGCATCACATATGGCTGATTCTCGTGGTACGTGGGACCCACAGAATCTTTTCGGTCCACTGTTAAATTTATTGTGAGATACTGTTACACATTTGTAATAAGATATTCTTCGTTGTTGCGCAAGCTTTTGTAGCACTAATTAACCTGGTCCCCAAAAGACTTAGCTGTGATATTTGCATGAGAGGTCCCTTTAGGAATTTATTGTCCTCTAAATAGATTGCCGCAAAACCTCTTCAGAGACGTCAAGTATACGTGGCGGTACGTACTTGTTGAGGCATCCCGACTAGGAGAATGGAAGAAAAACACGAAAGGTATTTTGTAACAGCAAGCTCTTTTCAGTGCGTCCCAGGGTGTTCATAACTTCATTACATCATCTTTTTAATGAATTGAGAGTTTTGGTTCTCAGAGAAAAACCAAGAAAGCGCATGGATTCGTAAGCCTTAACTTTATGTTTATAAGCTTTGTAGGATGACCAAGAAAACATTTGCAGATTCCACGCATAGTGGACATTGATAATATGAAAAACACGAATAACAAAGGTCGATATGTCACTTTAAAATCAACACAATGTTACGAGGTTGAAGTAAAAGATGCTGTACATCACTCATGTGTCATGATTATCATGCAAGTTTGGATGTGTCGTTTGCCTTCGTCATCTATTCACGTCACGTGATGCTAAATTTAGTATATCTGGAGATATCGAAGCGGCCTCGAGCATGCTATGAGCGTGGCATGTGTTCACGTTCTTACATGACATACTTGTCAGAATTATCATGATTCCCCAAGTCATGTATTTTCGCCGTTTATTAACGTCAATCACCCCAAATTTTGTATACTTGCTGGTAGCAAAACGGCTGCGAGTGTATTATGAAGGGCCCAATATACTCCCATGTTGGGTTGACGCGCGCCCACGCTGGGAACAGCGACGCTACGTTAAAACGGGAGCACTCTATAATCTGACGCCAGGCGCTACCAGCGTCCGTTGGTGCGGCCCCGACGGCAACCGGTGTGAAATGCGGCATGCTGCATTTCTCGCCAATGCGGTACCCAGACAACACTGCGTCTCCCTCTTTTCGTGATAGAGAGACGCCGGACGCGGTGAAGCATGCATGCGTCAAAGCAACGAAGCCCGGTGCGCGCCTGCTAGTACATGACAAAACTGTCGTCTGGTGTGGCAATGTCGGTGTGACGCGACGAAATGAACGCCACAAGCACGCGCACCATGTCACGTCGAAATGTATTGGCGCCTTCACTGTGGCATGTAGTCATGTTCTCACATGACACGCATCTCATCATTACCATATTCGCACCAGTCACATACATTCTTCATCCATTGACGTCACGTAATACAAATTTTGGCATATGTGAAGCTTGCGAAATGGCCGCGAGGGCATCATGAGTGTGGCATGTAGTAATGTTGTTACATGACACGCATGTCGTGATTATCACGTTTGAATGTGTGATTTACCTACGTCGTCCATTCGCGTCGCGGAATACCATGTTTCGTACAATGGAAGCTAGCGAAACGGTCATGAGCGCATCATGAGTGTAGCATGTAGTTATGCTGTTACATGACACGCATCTCATTATTATCATGTTTACACCAGTATCATACCTTCATCGTCCATTCACGTCCCGTAATACCAAATTTGGTATATGTGACGCTAGCAAAACGGCCACGAGCGCACATGACCATGGCATGTTTTCATGTTATTACATGACACGCATGTCATGATTTCCATGTTAGGGTACGTTGCTTGTGTTCGCCATGTAACCATGTCATGCCATACCAGTTTTGCAACATGACATGTGAACGAATTCACCGCAACAGCTGCAGGACCATGAAATGTAAAACAAGAATTTCATGACACGCATATCATGAAATTCGTGTTATGACTAATCAAATATGTTTTTCATACTGTCATGTTATGCCATACCTAGTTTGGTATCAATACCATTAACGACACTGCCAGGAGAGCTAAAATTCGTAGGCGCCTAGATAGATAGATAGATAGATAGATAGATAGATAGATAGATAGGTAGATAGATAGATAGATAGATATGCTCAGAGTCGCCGAAGTTTGCTAAGAAATGCGTCACATTAAAAAAAAACAGAAAGAGTGTTTGAAAATTCCCGTTCCCACGAAGGCCCTTCGCGGTGCACCTCCCCGACACCCCACAGTTGCGCTGGAAGCAATTTGTCCGTTCAGGCAGTGCGCGGAAAGCAAGAGATGTCTGTTACATGCTCCTTGCTCTTTTCACTCGGTTTTTACTGAAAAACTTATTTCTTTAACTTCTCAATTGCGGTTCACCTTGAATATTACCTGATTTAAGCCTGTTGTTTTAGAAATGAGGCTGCAAAATAGCGCAAAAACTTATACATCAAGCGGAATAATTGTGGCCTGCAGGGTTACGGGAATAGAGTTCGGGAATGGTGGTTTGGCAACCGTGTTGTATGCGTAAAAATGCGCACTATGAACACGTGCAACGAGACAAAAACACGGAAAGAAACTTGTACTCATCGGTATGTGGGCATTAGAAGCTGGCATTGAGTTACGAGAAAACTTAATTACTTCCACAGTCAGCTGAAACGCATATGTGCAGAGGCCACTTCAACCATGACTACGAGCTCTTTATGAACAGTCTCCAATGATTTACGGGCATATGCACAGGTCGTTATTGCAAAATATTTAGCATAGGCTAGTATTTCACTCAGGATATAGCGATGATGAAGGCGTGAAGGGAAATGACAAAAAAGTGCCGCCACATCCACGAAGTGAATGATGATGAGTGGGCGAAACTCCGGAGGTAAACCTGGTAAACCATGAATCCTCCGTACATTTTGCCCACTCGATTTTATTGCAACGCTCCCCCTAGCGTATGTCGCCGCACTATATCGAACGATGACACGCGTCATATGTGGCATCATTCCTATTTTATAACACCTCGCATCTTTCATAATCAACTACACGTACCGTCGTCTAGTTTATAACATCTTGCATCTTTTGGACGGACGGACGGACGGACGGATGGATGGATGGATGAATGGATGGATGGATGGATGGATGGATGGATGGATGGATGGATGGACGGACGGATGGACGGATGGACGGATGGATATGGCTGTACCCTTTAGGTCGGGCGGTGGCTAGCGTAATACTTAATGCCGTCAGCTACAAGTACCGCCATCTAGTGAACACTGCAAGAACTGAACGAGAGGTGGCTACATACAGGGGACGCACAGCCCACGCCTTAAGGAGCTTCGCTCCTAAAAAAAATGGCAGATCATTGATATGCGAACAACGAATGGGAAAGCTTGATATGTTACTTTAAAATGAGCACAACGTTTCGAGGTGGAGGTAAATGATGCCGTACATGACTTCCGTGTCATGATTATCATGTTCGGGTGTGTCGTTTACCTTCGTCATCTATTCACGTCACGTGATACCAAATTTAGTATATGTGTTGCTAGCGAAATTACCGCGAACATGATATTATACTGGTATGTTGTCATGTTCTTACAAGACACGCGTGTCAGAACTTTCATGTTTCCACCAGTCATATATTTTGTCATCCATTGACGTCAAGTAACGTCAAATTTGGTGTATGTGGAGCTAGCGAAACGGTCGCGAGCGCATCATGAAGGGTGCAGTATACTCCAGTGCAGTGTTGACGCGCGCACAGTGACTGCTAGGTTAGCAAAACACGAGCACTCAATAGTCCGACGCCAGGCGTGACCGACGCGACCAGTGTCCGACGGTGTGGCCCGACGGCAGCCAGCGCGAAATTCGCGCCGATGCGTTACTCGGACAACATTGTGTCTCCCTCTTTTCGTGACGTATGGACGCCGCATGCGCTGAAACGCGGATGCGTCAAAGGAACGCAGCGCAGCAGGCGCCTGCGAGTACATGGCAGGACCGGCACCTAGCGTGGCAACGCCCGCGTGACGCGACAAAATGAACGCCGGCGAGCACGCGCACCGCGTCACATCAAAATGTATTGGCGCCTTGACTGTGGCATGCAGTCATGTTCTCCCATGACACGCATCTCATGATTATCATGTTTGCACCAGTCACATACATTCGTCATCCATTGACGTCACGTAATACCAAATTTGGCATATGGGAAGCTAGCGAAACGGCCGTGAGCCTATCATGAGTGTGGCATGTGGTCACGTCGTCACATGACACGCATTTCATGATTTTAATGTTAGGGTCTGTCGTTTGTGTTCGTAATGGGGTCATGTCATACGTTATCAGTTTTGCAACATGCCATGTGAAAAAAACCACCGCAAGAGCTGCCGGACCATAACTTGTAAATCATCACATTCACGACATTCATGTCATGACTTTCATGCAATGGCTAGTCAAGTATGTTCTTCATACAGTCATGTCATGCCATACCAAGTTTAGTATTGCTAACCTCCCTGTCCTTCCTCATTTTCCCTCCTCCTTGGTATTGATACCATTATTGAAACGGCGACAAGAGCTAAATGTCTTAGGCGGTTGGATAAATAGATAGATAGATAGATAGATAGATAAATAGATAGATAGATAGATAGATAGATACGCTC